CGTGAGACATGGGACTGAAAGTTTCGAAGATACCGACCACTTTCTACTTTATAGTTCGCGGCCAACCTTTCCAAAAAATAACGGTCAAAGTTTATCTTGAAATTCTGGACGGCATGTTACGCTTGAATTCAGCGATGTTGATGATAATCATTCTATCCAGGAGCCGTTATTACCGAAAGCTAAAAATAAAGAAATTATGGTAAATTGAGTCACGAAAATGTGCTTTGCAGTTTTATTTCCTGTTGTCTGTTTCCACGGCGAGATACCTGGTTCATTTAGGCCGAAACCATTTATGGATAGGGATTGATTTTTGCTGGATTAGTTTCCGCTGAGTTTCCATCACTATTTGACAATTTGGAACTCGCATTGTTCGCATTCATCCAAACCAAGAGCCATAATAGGACTATTATGGCTCTTGTCCAAACCCATTAACACATGACATCACTAAAAATTCAAACTAAAAAACTATCAATCCTACCGAGATTTTACTTTCACGATGCATTAGAGCAGCTGAAAACTAATTGTCATACAAATTTTCGTCTCAAAAGGGTTCTTGGTTTTGTGATAGAGTACGTTTGAATTTCTAAACTTTTGCGTGACGCAGCATTTACATGACGGCCAAGAGAGCTGTCATGTAGGTTAAAACAAGAGACTATAAACGGGACAGAGAGGGCATCCCCCACATAGACCCTATTCCATAGGTAATTCGTCTCGAGTTATTTTTAACACTACAGATCTCAAGAGGGATTAGACAACAGCCAATCACATAGCGCGAATGTGTTCCGCGTGGATGACCCACGCTGAGAGCCACGCGTCCTTCACGAAATGACGCAGAACAAAATGGGGGAAGACGCGGAGAGCGATTTTGCTATTTCTTTTGTCGACGAAAACGACTACAGCGAGATTTCTGCGAAAGCTGTGTCAGCGAAACCGAAATTAAAAAAGAATCGCCCTTTCTCTCTTGTATAGAGCTAACAGTAGAGCAGGGAAATCCTTAACACACTGAATATTCTCTCAGGATCATTTATAATTTACAGTTTGAAGAGAGCAATTTCTGATTTGATGTTTATTTTTTTCAGTCTTTATAGCGATTATTCCTACCCACTTACTTTGTCAATTGTAGGCGAACCCTCCTAAAGCTGAATTTCAAGGGACCATATTCAAGCTCAGAAAGAGAAATAAAATTTCGTCGTTGCTTATTTACGTCCTCCATAAAACGCGAAATTAGGCATTTTCACGTCGTAGTCGTGCAAAAACGGGAAAGAAATGAACAAAAAAGTGTGTTGCACGTGCGAAGTTGTTGTTTTGCTAATTAAACCTATTGTTTTTTTGACGTTCTAGTTGTCGTCCGCGTCGTTGGATCTTAAACTCCCTAAATTGTACAAACGACCGGTTTCAATAGACCGGCGAAATTTCTCATTTTATTAAAGCACTGAGGTTACGACAACTTCGAGTTAAACTGATTTCACGGGTTGTCAAAGAGTCCAGCGATTCCTTTTTCCCAGGTGAGCGCCGACTCATTTCGCTTCAATATTCAGGAATGCTCTCGATCTTTTTACGCTTTCATTGCCTCTCGCCCGACATGTTTTGCACGGCGTTTGGTCATGCGAAACCTCCACGAAACATCCACGCCTCGCGCGAGGTAACTTTATCCCGATTCTAAAAATAACTCGAGACGAATTACCTATGGAATAGGGTGTATATGGGGGATGCCCTCTCTGTCCCATTTATAGTCTCTTGGGTTAAAAACATGACTTATTTCAGGAAATTTTGCTATCTAAACATTTCGTGTATTAGAAGAAGTATTGCTTTAATGTTTATGAGTTTCTCGAAGAATAAATTCACGCTCTTGTAGCAAAACTCGGTAACAGATGTTTCTGTTGGTTTCCGTCCCCCATGTTGGAACTCATCCAGGTCAGCACCAGCGTGGCGTCTCCATACAAACCTCTATAAGTTTTGGGTAAGACATTTCTTCAGATATCTCGTATACAAAATATTTCTTTGACCTGAATCTTGGCGAGGGTCTTTGCATATGTACCTCCTTTCATTTCCCAGATTCTGGACTATATCTGTTGAACGGTTTTGATTTTTATTTTGATCTATTTTGAATGGCGTGACACTGAAAACCAGCTGACATGCCAACCGCAGCCCTCTTCTTAATTATTAATCCCTAGGCACGAGTTCCTAGCAATTCCTAAAATTATAAGCGATTTTTGTGGAAGTTTACTACAATGTCTTTAAGTTTAGATTCAATAATGGCGACAATGCATGAATGGAAATTGAGGGGAGTATGTGAAAACAAAGGATTTTATAATTTACAGATGTGTAGGAAAGGAGTCGAGAACTGAGAATTAAGTTGAGACGGACTTGCTTTTCATGTCTTGTCACTGGCCTAAGCTGCAATAGGCATATACAAGCAGCCTTGGTAATTCCAAGGTCAAAATTCGCACATTTTATTCTCAGAGATTCCTAGGATATTCCTAAGAATTCCTAAATCTCTTTTGAAGGGTTCTTTTCAGATTGATTTGGAATTTGGGAGTGGGGGTTTTTGACAAAACCGATAGATCCAAAGTTAACCCTGGGAAAACCCTCTTATAGCAACGGAGAGAACCAGTAGCAAACTGAAACCACGTGTGGTGTCGACGCCTTGAACCCAGGCCGGCAAAAAGCACTTTGCAACTATTACCAAAAATAGGTTTTGTCATCTTAGACTCCCCGCGTGGCTCATTCTGGCATTCTGCTCAAAGGCTTTGTATGAGCAACATGCGTTTCCGATATGAGAACTGTTCATAAAATTCGCAATGAGCGTTTTTAAAATATTTTGGGCTTTATTCTAATATGTAAAAGGCCAGGGAGCAAAAACAGGTCCAACCAACTCAAATAAAGGGACCTGATCAAATAAGGCTACTGAAATCTGATCTCTAATTCTGTGTCAGTCAGACAGCACTCGATGCACCGAAACATGACATTTCTGGCTGTGTAATACTCCAAAACCGAAATTGCTAAGGCTAAAATCGGGTTTGTATTCGCTTTTCGCAAGCCTGTGGCGGGATTTCTAAGCTGAAAAGAACACCAACATTAGCACAAACCGGAAGTTGCACATTAAGTTTGTTCTGTTGTTGTGCGGCCAGGTAGGTACCATACAGAATATGCAGAACGAGGTATGCAAAATGGCCTTAGGGGTTCACTCTAAAGGAAGTGACCTTGCTGTGAAGGGAGAACTCGGACGTTTTTCCTCTTCAGGGGAGCAAGGGTGGCGCATTGGTGAGAGCACTCGCCTTCCACCAATGTGGCCCGGGTTCAAATCCCGGCGTCGACGCCCTACGTGGGTTGAGTTTGTTGTTGGTTCTCTCCCTTGCTCCGAGAGATTTTTCCCGGGTAGTCCGGTTTTCCCCTCTCCTCAAAAATCAACAACACTTCCAAATTCCAATTCGATCTGGAACGCACGGACACGTTTAAACGAGTTCATATGAACTCTTAAGTGCTTCGTGGGAAAAGAACCAATTTAAAATTTTAATTTTAGTTTTTAAGTACTTCTTTAGGTTACTTACCTTACAAAATAACCAAATTTTAAACAGCGCCCTACAGATAAACATCCATTTAAATAATCTTGGTTTACTACTGTAAGGCACCTATTACAATTTACCAAATTAAGTGATTATACTTCAAATCTGCCACCTTGACTACAGGACAATTCCTCACCTGGTTAGAATGTTTAAAAGAAATTTGTTTAAAGAATACCAGGAATATTGGTCGAAAAACTTGAACAAGGATAAATTCGACTCCTCAGTTGGAAATAAGTCTGTATAGTGAACTGAAAAACGAAGTCAGATTTCAATCTTATCTTGATTCAATAAAGAACCTTGAGACAAGAGTGGCAGTAACCAAAATGCGGATTTCTTGTCACTCGCTACCTATTGAATCTGGGCGATACAAGAAGATACCCAGAGTTGAGAGGCTTTGCCACCTTTGTAATAGATCCGAAATATGCGATGAATTCCACTATTTGTTGAAATGTATTCACTCATCACTTTCTCATATAAGGGGTATCTTCTTGGAGAGCCTATACTTGATAAACAGTAATTTTACGAATATGTCTTGCAAGGCATTTTTTTTATATATCATGTCTATGTGCGATGAAAACATCATAAATCTTAGTGCCTATTATATTGAAAATATTCTAAATTGTTATAAATCCGAACTCTAATTAAACTTTCTTAGCATACAAGTAGCGTAGAAGCCGTACATAGCCAAGTAATTTTTCTTTTATGATAATATTCAATATACAGTTGTTGTCCCTTTCTTACTTACTTAACTTTTATTGTATTTTGTTTCATTTGTCATTGTATTGACTGTTTTGGTACTGAAATCTTCATGTCGACTAAATCAATAAAGTTGCTGTTGTTTATATCCTGTAGTACCAAGTAGCATAATATGACCACTCGAAAAAAAAATTGGGCAACCGTTGCTGGTAAATTTAACCAAATGCACCGTTTTATGAACAGCTTTGAAGCCCTGCTCTCCATGTATTTCTTAGTTAAGTGCCGTTATAACTTTATTTCGCCCACAGTAATAATGGCACCGCCAAAGAAATAAAATCACTCATCTGTACAGTTTTTTTCCAAGTTCAAAGTTGTCTTGGCACACGTTGATTATTTTAGGATATATGTTATGCAAATCAAGCTGGATTTTGTTTCATTTGGCGGTAAAAATCTTCAAAGACGACAAAATTCATTGGCGAACGTGCCTTTCCCATACAAAACTCTTATACTGGTCAGGTTCAATGTCTGAGTCACAGCAAGGACCAGAAATTTGTGACGTCATTAGTGCAAAGCGTTGTTTATGAAGGGCGAGTGCTGCTACACCACCACGGCCTGAACCTTGCTTTGAGTTGGTTATATTATTTTGTGTGATGTCAAGAGACACCTTCCTGACTTTTTATTTGTGTCCATTTATTTCTTGTAGATAAAATTCTTCCTTAAAGCCTTACTCAAACTAGAATGAACTTAAGCAGGAGGTACGTTTGGCTTCTTGCCATCTTGATTGGTTCATTTTTTGGTTACTTGATATTCAAGTCACGCTACACAACCCTTTATTCATCCAAACTTCAGGCCGGTCAAAATCATGGTGGAGCAAGGACTGTAAACGCCACGGAAAGTGTTGCTACCAGCACTAAAGACATTGTAACTACGGAAATTCCTGGTGATGAACGTTTCCAAATCGGCCATTATGTTTCAAGACTTAACTCTTCCATAATTGGAAAAGAGTTCAACTTTGATAATTCAACTCTAGTTGTAATAAGAAGAGTTCTTCGGAATCAAACATTCAAGCGAAAGCCAATCGAGTCCATTGATGCCAAGACGCCATTTTTTGATCTCGTGACTCCTGTGACCGCGTGTTCGAGTAACCACTACGGCGAATTCAAACCTCACATAGAAGATTTTAGAAAGAGTTTCCCTGGAACGAAATGTTTTTTCTACGATCTTGGACTAAACGATGAGCAGATCAATGAAGTTAAAAACATGCCTGACCTAGTGTACAGAAAATTCGACTTTAATGTGTATCCTGAACACGTTCGTTACCTGCGAAATTATGCCTGGAAACCGTTGATAATTCAAGAAATGCTCTCTGAATTTGATGGAACAATGTGGTTTGATTCATCTGTCAAATTCTTAGGAAACCTAACCAGTAATGTAATAGAACTTATGTCCCGCCACAATACAGGCGTAGTGTTTTATCTCGCCACAACCGGCCACTCCATAGTAGCCGCTACTCAACCGGGCATGCTTGAATACTTTCCGATGATGAAAGAAGGCGCAGTTAAGGACATGCTTCAGGCCAGTGCAGTGGTTTACATAAACAAGGATGAAGTACAAAGGCACATAATGAAATGGGTTGTGATTTGCGCCCTCAAAAAGGACTGTATCGCACCGCCCGGTTCAAAATTGTTTTGTGGGTTTAAGTTTCCTCGAGACAGGTTTGGGGGCTGCCACAGATATGACCAGTCTCTGCAAAATATCCTTGTTTCGAACGCTTATAACCATGAACACGAGAAATATCAGTACTGGAGTAAAAATTTTGCCGTTATGGCCCNCTAGTGTACAGAAAATTCGACTTTAATGTGTATCCTGAGCACGTTCGTTACCTGCGAAATTATGCCTGGAAACCGTTGATAATTCAAGAAATGCTCTCTGAATTTGATGGAACAATGTGGTTTGATTCATCTGTCAAATTCTTAGGAAACCTAACCAGTAATGTAATAGAACTTATGTCCCGCCACAATACAGGCGCAGTGTTTTATCTCGACTCAACCCACCACTCTATAGTAGCCGCTACTCAACCGGGCATGCTTGAATACTTTCCGATGATGAAAGAAGGCGCAGTTAAGGACATGCTTCAGGCCAGTGCAGTGGTTTACATAAACAAGGATGAAGTACAAAGGCACATAATGAAATGGGTTGTGATTTGCGCCCTCAAAAAGGACTGTATCGCACCGCCCGGTTCAAAATTGTTTTGTGGGTTTAAGTTTCCTCGAGACAGGTTTGGGGGCTGCCACAGATATGACCAGTCTCTGCAAAATATCCTTGTTTCGAACGCTTATAACCATGAACACGAGAAATATCAGTACTGGAGTAAAAATTTTGCCGTTATGGCCCGGGGGTAACTTTCCCTTAGAAACTCGCAAAGGAAAGACTGTTTCTTGATCATTGTAAATCACACGTCTATACAATTCATGGTTATACTTGGAAACATGGAACCCGACAAACAAGTCTTAAATTAGAAACCAGCAATGTTGTGTTTGCCTACCCCGTCAATTTGGTTAAAGATTTTTAATTGTGAATATCAATGTAGAAAAACTACGATCATGGATAAATTTGCATTTATTCTGTGGCGCTTAGATAAACAAGCCTTATCCCCCAGTCCGGGCCATAACCATTTCTGGATATCGGTTTTTTGCCTTGTGATTGGTTGAGGTGAAAACCAAAACAAAACAAACTTGACCGAGAAACTGGAAATAAGTAGACATTGAATAATTTTTTTGGATGGCACCCACTTGCGGCAATCGGCCGAAGCAAAATTCAGTAATAAACACACTGCGAGGAAAGACAGCCGATAGAAAAATACTTTATTTACTTGAAACATTAAGCATACAACTCTTGTCATCATGATCTTGTCAAGTGATCATGAAGAGTGAAGCGGATTCTTTCCAGTACAAATTCATCATTTGAACGTTTGGACGTCGTGGTCTTCTACCCGCGGAGCCAAAGAAAATGCATTAAGTGCTTCACACCAGAGATCAGATCCGGATCTTGTGTCTTATGGAGGGTGTCGACCGATATGTCGGTCGACTCTCTGTCGACATCGGTCGATATATCGGATCATTTTCATTTTCTGGGCAACCGAGCACCGATGCGTATTACATAGAGGTCGCGAGGTCGGTTATTTATTGGGAGATCGGTTTCAGTAGAGTGGAGGTCGGTTTTGTCAACCAACCTCGGTGCTCGGTTGCCCAAAAAATTAAAATGATCCGATATATCTATAGGGCGAGTATCGGTGGACTGTCCATCGAGTATAGATCGCCGATATCGATCGAGTACCGGTCGACTGTCGATCGAGCACCGATCGTGCTTCGGTCGAGTATCGGTCGATCTGTGGCCGATAGTCGGTCTTTTGAAAGTGAAGAATGATCATCGCAGTAAATTTTCCAATTTAAGCAATTGGAAAGAAGAAGCCTAAAAAAAAAGGCCCCCACCGGATTCGAATCCCGTTGAAGCCCTGATTTTTTCCAAGCTTCTTCTTTCCAATTGCTTAAATTGGGAAAATTACTGCGATGATCATTCTTCACTTTCATCTACAACCGCAGTTCAAAAATGAATTATTTCATATATACTTCACATCACAGTCGGTCTTTGGTCGTCTTTTCTTCACCGACGGATCACCAACATATCAATGACATTTCACCGACACTCTGCCGACACCTCGGTCGACCGTCATCAGTACAAGAACTAGAGATCAGCCATGCAAAAACAAACAAAACAGTCAAAATTTTGAGATCAAATTACACACTCAAAATTTTCTACAAAACATTCGTCAACCACATGTATACTGCTACGGCAAAAAGCTCATCTCGACTCGGTTAACGCTAGCTTCCACGCACATCGAAGCTATCATTGACAGCAGGGGGAGTCTTTTGCAAGATATCGCGTGACCCTGCTGGCAGACACTTAACTTTTTCTGAGTGAACGCACATTGAAAAGCCATGGGATTTCGCCGCGTGAGAAACTTAGACATGGGACTGAAAGTTTCGAAGATACCGACCACTTTCTACTTTATAGTTCGCGGCCAACCTCTCCAAAAAATAACGGTCAAAGCTTATCTTGAAATTCTGGACGGCATGTTACGCTTGAATTCAGCGATGTTGATGATAATCATTCTATCCAGGAGCAGCTATTACCGAAAGCTAAAAATAAACAAATTAAAGTAAATTGAGTCACGAAAATGTGCTTTGCAGTTTTATTTCCTGTTGTCTGTTTCCACGGCGAGATACCTGGTTCATTTAGGCTGAAACCATTTATGGATAGGGATTGATTTTTGCTGGATTAGTTTCCGCTGCGTTTCCATCACTATTTCACAATTTGGAACTCGCATTGTTCGCATTCATCCAAACCAAGAGCCATAATAGGACTATTATGGCTCTTGTCCACTGACCCATTAACACATGACATCACTAAAAATTCAAACTAAAAAACTATCGATCCTACCGAGATTTTACTTTCACGATGCATTAGAGCAGCTGAAAACTAATTGTCATACAAATTTTCGTTTCAAAAGGGTTCTTGGTTTTGTGATAGAGTAAGCTTGAATTTCTAAACTTTTGCGTGACGCAGCATTTACATGACGGCCAAGAGAGCTGTCATGTAGGTTAAAAACATGACTTATTTCAGGAAATTTTTCTATCTAAACATTTCGTGTATTAGAAGAAGTATTGCTTTAATGTTTATGAGTTTCTCGAAGAATAAATTCACGCTCTTGTAGCAAAACTCGGTAACAGATGTTTCTGTTGGTTTCCGTCCGCCATGTTGGAGCTCATCCAGGTCAGCACCAGCGTGGCGTCTCCACACAAACCTCTATAAGTTTGGGTAAAACATTTCTTCAGATATCTCGTACACGAAATATTCCTTTGACCTGAATCTTGGCGAGGGTCTTTGCATATGTACCTTCTTTCATTTCCCAGATTCTGGACTTTATCTATTGAACGGTTTTGATTTTTATTTTGATCTATTTTGAATGGCGTGACACTGAAAACCAGCAATAGGGCATTTATTAAACAGAAGTTTAGCTGACATGCCAACGGGCATGCCAACCGCAGCCCTCTTCTTAATCCCTAGGCATGAGTTCCTAGCAATTCCTAAAATTATAAGCGATTTTTGTGGAAGTTTACTACAATGTCTTTAAATTTCGATTCAATAATAGCGACAATGCATTAATGGAAATTGTGGGGAGTATGAAAACAAAAGATTTTATAATTTACAGATGTGTAGGAAAGTCGAGAACTGAGAATTAAGTTGAGACGGACTTGCTTTTCATGTCTTGTCACTGGCCTAAGCTGCAATAGGCATATACAAGCAGCCTTAGTAATTCCAAGGTCAAAATTCACACATTTTATTCTCAGGGATCCCTAGGATATTCCTAAGAATTCCTAAATCTCTTTTGAAGGGTTTTTTCAGATTGATTTGAAATTTGGGAGTGGGTTTTTTTTGACAAAACCGATAGATCCAAAGTTAACCCTGGGAAAACCCTCTTATAGCAACGGAGAGAACCAGCAGCAAACTGAAACCACGTGAGGTGTCGACGCCTTGAACCCAGGTTGGCAAAAAGCGCTTTGCACTATTACCAAAAATAGGTTTTGTCATCTTAGAATCCCCGGGTGGCTCATTCTGGCATTCCGCTCAAAGGCTTTGTATGAGCAACATGCGTTTCCGATATGAGAATTGTTCATAAAATTCGCAATGAGCGTTTTTAAAATATTTTGGGCTTTATTCTAAAATGTAAAAGGCCAGGGAGCAAAAACAGGTCCAACTAACTCAAATAAAGGGACCTGATCAAATACATCCTCGGAGACCCAGGGGCAGTCAGTCAGTTTTCAAGCACAGGCGGAAGAGCCCCTGGGTACCGACTCTCACCGGACCATTTCCAAACGGTCAAGTGAATGCTGGCTCCTGATTGGGCACAAAAAATGCTTTGTATTATTGTGCCCAATCGGCGAACATTTCTCTCGTGAGTTCTTTTCGTGAGTTCGTACACGATGGGTATTATGTCGCCACAGTTGCCCGGTTCGTTCACCAAGCTTGTGCGTACAAGGGAAACTTCCATTTTCTACTTTCCTAACCAGAAACGAAGGACCTACCGATGAGTCGAAAAACGTTTCGGATGCTATCAGCAGGAACAATTCATTTTGCACTGAGAAAATTCTGTTTCTGACGGATCACAATGTATCGTAAATAATCAGATAATAGGAAGTTTAAGATGCGGCGGCGACGA